TTTCTTTTTCTTTCTTCCTTTCTTTTCTTTCTTTCTCCTTCTTTCTTTCTCTTTCTTCCCTCCCTCCCTCCCTCCCTCCCTTCCTCTCTCTCTTTCTATCTGTCTATCTCTCTCCCTCTTACTCAGGACTTCATTTCTCTAGGATCCGTCCTTGCAGCACCCTCAGAAAGTGTACCTTTGCTTTCTGTCTTCTGCTCCTGTGGCCCCTTCTTCTCATTGCCATCAGAGCAGTTGCCCTAAAATATAAATCTAATGATTCCTCCCCTACCCGCTGCTTAACATATGTTATTGGTGCCCCACTGCCTGCTGGATAAATTCCAGCCATTCAGCATGGTATTCAAGACCCTCCATAAATAGGTCTCAGAAGAATTCTCCACCCTCTCGTCTTATCTCTCTTCTTTTCACACTCTCTACCCTGCCCATACCAAACCCTGTGTATTCCAGATCCCCACATACAGTTTATCCATGCTGTTTCCATGTTTCCCCCCCAACTTCTGCACCTGATGCATGTTTATTTACCATTCTGTTACCCATTCCAAGCTTGCACTGCTCACTGCACGACAGGCCAATAAATCTAGAAAGGAAGTGTTGGGGCAACGAATAAGGACTTTATTCGGGAAGCCAGGAGACTGAGAAGTGTCCCAAAGCACCATCTGACCGGAGTTAGAATAGAATCCAGCCTTCTTTTTTACTAAAACGGGAGAAGGTATTGGCAGGTTGTGGTCACAATACAATGTTCCAAAAAAACTTCAACAATTGTTTCTTTCTTTCTTTCTTTCTTTTTTTAATGTGCACGGCCACCGCTTGTGGGAATCTCAGTTCCATAACCAGGGATTGAACCCAGGCCACGGTAGTGAAAGCGCTGAGCCCTAACCAGTGGACCGCCAGGGAACAACCCACAATTGTTTTTTTCTGTTCTGCAACTTTTTATTATGCCTTTAATCGTCAAGCCTGGGAGGCAGAGCCTTGAGAATGTGCTGTCATGTATATTTCAGGCTCTCGGCAGCTTTCTTCTACAAAAGGTGCAGAGCCAGCCTGACTAAACACAGACACCAGAGCACAAAGGTTAGAGCTAATGGAATAGATTGAACAGGGAGTCAGGTTTGTTCTCCTCTGCTACGGTTCCTTCTCTGCTGAGAGCACTCTTTCTCTGGAGACTGTTTTCTCCATCATTTCCATCTGCATGGATGCCTATGAATTCATACATCATAGGTATTTTCACACCTTCTGGTGATGATTTTTTTCTTATACTGTTGGCTCCCTGTATGCTGCTTCAAAAATACGTGGATGTGTGTTACTCACAAATGCATTCTTAGTGCTCAGGATTATGCCTGTGCTCAGGAGATACTTGATAAATTTATAAATAAATCAGTGAATTCACACTTTCTTGGCAAAGCCAGTGACTTTCTGGCCTGCTCTAAGTTACTGTGTTTAACTCAAGTCTGCTTCTAAACCCTACTTTGGGAAGAATAGATGTCTATACATATATATATATATATATATATATATCTGTCTATATCTATATTTTTGTGTCTACAGTTATGTGTGTTACTAATTTGGGGGAAAAACTATACTTATTAGCGATACTATTATGTTATTGGATCTTAAATAATTATGATAGAAGAAAAAAATATATTTATATAAAACATGTATGTTTCTTCTATTATTAGATTATATATCTATTTTGTGTATATATAACAGTGATGAAAATAGCATTCTCTCTGTACCTGTATGTATGATATATATAGACATTTTTTGGTGATGCATGTTTTCGTGCCTATTATCTCATTTATTTGTCCCAAGGAACCACAGAGAGCTATTTCAATCACTGTTTAAAGGATCTATTCCCTAAGGTTCACAGAACCTAACAGACTTTCCAACAGGTTAAAGCTAGCAGGGTTAAGACACTTGGTCTGAAACTAGGTCTCCTAAATCAGTGTTTATCACCTTCCCCACTATTGGCTATGTTCCCCAAGAGCCCTTCTCTTCAAACTCCTGAGGAATCCCTAATTATGCCATCACACCAAATAATGACAGCAGGTTGGATGCCTGAGTTTGCTGCCTAAATGCAGAAGCAATTGTGAGGATGTCCTATGGATAGAAGACATTATGTTTTTCCTTCAGGAAATAAGTCCCTAGGCCTGTGAAATAAGGTTAAGAAAAGCAGACATTTATTTGGAGCTTCTTGCATGCCTAGTCCTGTATCACATATCACATCACAAGGATATCACAAGGTGATTACTTTTGTCTTCTCCACATTACAGAGGCGGAAACCCAGACGAAGTATTTAAACACACAGCGAAGGTCATATGCCACTTGAACCCAAGCAGTCTAGTTTGAGAATCTGTGTTCAGACTGCCACAGCACTCTATAGCCTTCCCTGATTTATCAGAGAGGAGCTTCAGACATCACGCAACTGAGAGCCAGCTACCTCTAACCCAGTGATAAATACCAGGTCCTATTACCAAATTCTGAGTTGGCTGGAAAAGATGAAATCCTGGATCCCCAAAGTGAAGAGGGGTATTTCAATACAACTCGCAGATGCTAGAAACTTCTTCAATATTTTATTCATCAAAAACACTACTGTATAAGAAACAAACAGGGGCTTCCCCGGTGGTGCAGTGGTTAAGAATCTGCCTGCCAGTTCAGGGGACAGGGGTTTGAGCCCTGGTCCGGGAAGATCCCACATGCTGCAAAGCAACTAAGCCTGTGTGCCACAACTACTGAGCCTGTGCTCTAGAGCCCACGAGCCGCAACTACTGAAGCCCATGCGCCTAGAGCCTGTGCTCGGCAACAAGAGAAGCCACCACATTGAGAAGCCCACGCACGGCAATGAAAACCCCAACGCAGCCAAAAAAAAAGAACCCCAAAAGGTACTAACCCATCACCTGGGCATAAAAGAGGTTCTGTCCTTTACAGGTCTTCATTCTAATTTTGCTAATTTATCTATCTATCTATCATTGTTTCCCAGTACAAGCCAAATACCATCCAGAAACAGTAACACAGTTGTCAGCCTGACCCCCGGGGAAGAGCTTGCAGGGCTGGCACTCACCCTTGGATAGCATAGCCTTAAGGGGTTAATGGTGTTTGCAAATACGGCACCGTGTGTGGAGGCTCTGAAGGGTATCTGGAGAGGGCAAGGAAGCTTTCCCGTGCGCTCTGGCACGGTGGCCCAGTGAGACGCGCGCTCACCTGTTCCACCACCCCGGCGGCACCAGAATCTCTCTGTTCCAGCTGGTTTGCACTGGGATTAGCTGCTCTTTGCATGCGCTTGTAGCCGTGGATGTGGTTTCTGTAGCGATGGGGCCGACCGCGGGGATCTATTGGCTGCTGGCTTTGTAAATTTCATTCAGTTTGGTCCAATAGCAGAGGGGGAGCTGGGAACCATCAGGACCTCTCGCTTCAATCTCTCTTTTTCTTGCAGACGGGTCTCTGTCTCTACATACAGAGCTCTTATTCAGACGTAACGCTGCCCTTCCTTCTCCGGCTGTGTTCCTGTTTCTTCTTCCCCATCAGACTAGGATAGAAACAACGAATTTCCTGCAAACGGCAGTGTCGGTGGTCCTCGCATTTCTTCGAGGGAGCAAATGCAGTTGAGATTCGAGAAAGCCAAGGCGCTTGGACTTAGTACATCCTCCTGAATCATAGCCTCGGTCCCTGGAAAAATCTGGATGCATAAAAAGAACACTTACAGCCGATGCAGCTTTTCCACGGCTAAGGTAGGTGCCGTTTTAAGATGTGTCTGTGGGGTTTTTTTTTTTAAGCCTATTTAACGTTTTGACTCGTGTGCTTCCCAGCAAAAGATGATAAGTCCGACTGCTAACGTTTGCGCTCCACTTCATCCGACATTTAAAAAAAATTTTTTTTTTTTAATTTTGAAAATTTGCATAGCACTTTTTCTTCCATCGGTCGCTCCGTTTCTTAGGTGTGGGTGGGAGTGTGGACATATATGTACGGCGTGTCCTGTGCAAGCTTCGTGCACATCTCTACAGAAACAGTACATTTTTTCTTATGACTTAAAAAAATTGGGACCACCGTGGTTTGGAAGCGTTTTGCTGCAATCAGCTATCTGAACGGCTCTGGGGCCGTGTGTGATGTGTTTACAAAATAGCGCTCTGTTACATACAAATAAACAGAAGAGTGTGGCGGACACAGGAGGGAAAAAAATACATCTGCAGTACAGGGAGAGAAAGAGCGAAGTGCCAGATGTCTGCAAAGCAGGACTGGCGGGGAAGCCAGGAGCACTTCTGGAAACTGTGAGCCATCACGGGCTTTTTTCTCCTCCTTCTTCTTTAAGGAAACTGTCAGCTACCACCTCCCGGGGTGCATTTTTTTGGGTTAACCAGAGAGAAAAAAGGAAAACAGGCTTGGTTGGGTTTGCATTAAGCGATTTTTTTTTCCCCCTCCTTCCTCTGCTGGCCTTGGTTAAGATGACGGCTTGTGTGATGCACGAAATAACGCACGTGATTGATTAGGGGCTGGTTGGGCTTTGCTGGGGAGCGACCCGGGCGCGCTGGAGACCCCGGGTGAAGACGAAATAGCTTAGCGCCGTTTCTGCAAACCTGGGGAGCGGGCCACCTGCCCTCCCACTGCCATCCGCCCTTCACCCGTGCGTGTGGGCTGTGGGAAGGCAAGCGGCGGGAGATGGAGGGCGCGAGGAGGAGTGAGGGCGGTTGGTGGCGTTGCTGCTTCGGGAGCCTTTGGGTCTGGCCTGCACGTCTGCGCGGGGCACGCAGCTGCCGCCCGAGCGCCGTCCCCGAGCTGCCCGCTTCTCCCCGAGGACCACAAAAGTTGGTAGCTGCGGGGACCGGCGCTGGGCGTCCTAGCCGGGGTCTCCGGGGATGCGGACCCCCGTCGGTGCCCACGGAGAACCCTCGATCCGGGAGGAGAGCCCGCGGGAAGCACGGCGGGCCGGTTCTCTCGCCGGAGGCTAGGGGAGGAGGGCCGGGGACTCGGTTCGGAGGTGCGGACCACCCGCAGAGCCTTGGGCCACGTAACAGACAACCCTCCCCCCCCCCCCGCCCCCCCCCCCCCCCCCCCGCCGTCTCCCAAAGCTCGCAGTCGTCCCGCGCTTCAGATCCCGCCCGCCTCCCACGCTTTCCCAGCCGATTTCATCCGGAGCCCCGCCGCCGCCCCCTGCCCTTTCCCGCGCGGCTCGGTCTGACCCCCGTCCTGTTCCAGAGGGCCGAACCGGCGTACCGCTCGGCCGCAGACGGTGCGGGGGTCGCGGGCCGGCGGCGGCCGGAGGAGAGGCCGAGGTCCCGGCTGCACCCCGACCCCAGCCCACGAGTGTTCCCTCCCTCCCGCTCCGGCTCTCCGGGAACCCCGCCGCCTCTTCAGGGCGCGCGGGCACCCTTCAGTCTCCCAGACGCCCCCTCTTTCCCCGCCCGTCTCCGACCGCACCCCTCCCCTCCCCCGGCTTCTTCGTCCCTCCGAGAACCGGTAGGTTGGATTTCTCCGCCCGGCCCTCCCGGGCGGCACCCCGAGCGGTGCGCCCCCGGATCCGGGCCCGGGGCCCCGCGCATCCCTGGGCCCGGCCCACCATTCCGGAGCCTGCCCGCCGCCAGACACAGCATCCTTTCTCCCCGAAGCGGCGGGGGCGGGAGCCGGGGGTCCCCCCGCGCACACTCGGGGCCTGGCCGGGGCCGCCCTGGGAACGGAAGTCCCCCTCGGAGGGCGAGGGGCGTCCGGAGGACCTCTTCTGCCTCCCTCCCGCCCCTCTCTTCTGTTTTGTTTTTTTGTGGGTTTTTTCTTTTTTTTTTCTTTTTTGTTTTTTTTTTGGCTGCGGGTTTTCCTCTGGTGTGACTCCCTTCTCTGAACCGACCAGCAGGTGTGGGCCTCTTTTCATCTATTTTTGGAGCCACGAGGCCGCTCTCTCGAGCCGGCGGGAGGGGGGCGGGGTGCAGGAGGCCGCGTCGGGGGGCCGAGGAAGGCGGCTCGCGCCCGCGCTGGGAGCGCGCGTCAGGAGTGAAGCCGAGAGCGCGCGCGCGCCTGCCGTGAGCCGGGCCCGCGGCTCGCCCTCCGTCATGTGGACCCAACTTGGGAGATTTGGGGTGAGGTGTGTCCGGTGGCGGGTATCGAACTCAGCAGGTACTGTTCTTGCGAGCAGAATCCACAAGGTGGTAGTGTGGATTCTTCCTTTGATTTTTTTTTCCTACTTGTTCAGTTGCGGGGAAACGGCTTTCTGTGCTCATAGCCTAGGCTGTCTGAAGGGGTCCCCTGGCTGACCCGGCTTCCACATCCTGAGCGCGCTGCGTTTAACGCATTTTGTGATGCGAGGTGGTACGAGCTAGCTCCTTTTCGGAGTCAGCCTTTACCACTGGGACGGGACGCAGAGGAAAAAAGGAAGAAAAAAGAAAAGAAAGTTTGGGGAGACTTAGTTATCCTGAGGGAGCAGAATTTCCAGTTTGTGTAGGGTTCTGCAGGCAACGTAGGAGTGCGTGCATAAGGCATCGTTGGTAGGTATATACTTCAGCTAGAAATTAACCGGGGCTTCAAGACCTGACTTTGCATCAGAACAAAGCAACCTCAGCTGCTAAGAGAACGGCGTAGTTTGAATGGCGATGCTTAGCGTTTTTCCTAGAGAATGAGAGAGCCCGGAGAAAGGGTCCTGTGGCACAGAAATCTGCATCTTTCTGGGGGCAGATTGAGGGGCTGGGGAATTTTTCATGCCTTTAGTTGCCTTTAGTGGGCTTTGGAAAGAGGTTAACAGCCAGCCTTGAAAATCCTCAGGGCAGATTTCCTCGTGTAGATGCAGCAGAAGGTGTGTGTTTGTGTGTGTGTGTGTGTGTGTGTAGGGGGTGGTGGGTGTTTTGGCACATGGCTGCATTCATCCCTTAATTCCAGATTTTAAAAATGTGGATTTTAAAAATGCTTCCCTAAAGTAAGAACATAAGAATCTCACGGAGGCCTCTGCAAATATTTTTTTTTTCTAGATTAAAACTTCAATATTCTATTACCCAAAGAAATGTACTTGGAGATATATCTATATATCTATACTATATCTATCTCTCTCTATATATAGATATATATTTGGCAATTTTAAAGAATATTTTCCTTGACATGTAAGAAAATCATGAGGGCCAATAAGTAGCAAGTGGAAAATTACTTCATCAGTTTTAAATTACTGGATTAAAATGACAGGTTTAATTTTTTGGAAACCGGAATGATTTCGAGCAGGGAGTTAATGATAATTGCATTTTCATACTAATGGCTGTGCTTTGATGCCATTTTCAAGGTGTTTTGACACGTTTTTCTTCGGTGGAAGAATTGTTGCTTTCCTTTGTATTTTTTTTTTCCCCTAAATAAAAAGAGTGCTGAATGTACATTTGGCCCTAAACCCAGCTAATTTATACGCAAATCTAAAAATAGACATAAGATACTTGATAAGTGATGATTTGCTACATAAGGTAGATAAAGCAGGTATTTCCATGCTCTGAAATTTACGAGTGAATAGACGTGGGCAATATAAAAGTTCTCTTTTTGGGGCCTGGAATGTAGACCCGCAGTAAGTATGTGGGGTTTTTCTTTATTTCTGAACTTTGCCTTTTCATGTTTTTTCCTTTGTAGTAATTTGTGGAAAGCTTCTTGGTCTCTGTACAAAGATGAGAGTGTTTCCTCTCTATACACATTACATTGCTTTCAGAATGTGCAAGCATCTCTTTAAGAACTCTTTAGAATATTGTGCTTTGATGCCTGGACCACAACAAAAAAACCCAGAGAGGGTTCTCACAAAAGTAAATATTCAAGTGCACAGAGTCTGGCGTGGCTTTACTGTTCTTCCGTTTTAATTGGTACTCCAGATTCTAAACCTTTATTGCACAGCTAGGTATTGTCAACAATACAACCTGTTGACAGAATTTATGTGATTCCAGTGAAGCCACCGTATGAAAATATTTAAAGTCCTTTAATGCCATCACCCTGATGACAGCCTTCTCTGGTTAAAATATACTTAAATTCCAAACCCGATGAGAGCTGATTTTTGTATGTGAAAGTCAAAGGCAAGGAACGGAGTTTTAATATATCAACCACAACCGTATACTTTCTATAATGCTCTTGATGCTTAAAAGTATACATTTATTCCCAAATAAGAAAAATACGCTCAGGCTTTAGTTTAAGTCAGTTGCCCAATTAAAAAAAAAATATCCTGGATACTGTATCTTTTCAGAAGAGACACTTCATTTTCCGCTTAATTATGTTAAAAAATTCGAAGACAGACTAGGCCTTGGATGTAGTGACAGCTGATTTCTTAAACTTGTCAGCTACCAGTTTCGAACCAGATATTCCGCTTTGGGCCGGATAAGGGGAGACAGTGAAAAATCTCAAAATTGAGCCCACGTGGTTCTAGGCCATTAGGTCATCTGTTGTGGGCTGCAAACCATTCATGGGCCATTCACGCCATGAATATTTTCCAGTTTTGTCATTTTTCTCTAAACAACCTACATTTGGCCTTTCAAAGCCTCTTCTGTTCTGTGCTCCGTGAGTGGCGGGATGGGAAACCCTTCCTCCTTTTTCTTGGGGGTGGGCAGAGTAGGACAAATGAATAAGGGAGAAAAAAACAGTGGGACCGCCTAGAAGTTTGAGGTTGGCCATTTATAGGCTTTGAACAAATACCTCTGAGAAGGATTGATGTCTGCAGTGGGTATACGACACAAAAAGGAAATAAAGGACTCATAAAATCAGCACATGAGTGGAGAATAGCCAGGCCACTTAGGGCTCTGATTTCAGACTTCAGACATTCACTGTTGAGGTCACCTGCCCCAGGTGTGTGTGGAACCCCCGAGCGCCACCTGCCTGTGGAAATTGGCCAGTTTCCAGAATGAGCATCTTCTCTGCACCAGCCCCCGCCCCCCCTGCACCTCCCAGAAGGGGTGCCTGACCGAACACGAACCAAACCCCAACAAACGTGAAATGTATAGTAAGGTGAGGTTTTACTGAATTGATTCCAGAGGAGAAAAGAGTAATCGTATTAGGGAAGAAGTGAGGAAGAATAAACCCTACAGGGCCTCACTGGAGGCAGATCTTTATTTCAGGATGGTATTAATGAAATGGCACGTGCTTTCACAGCTCTAAATGAAGGGAAAGAACCCAGAGTTTTGTTTGGTGGTTTTATTTAAAATGTGTGTGGTATGAATAGTGATTTACCAAGGTAACAGAGCGCTCTTTTTTGGATGGCAACTGGACCTTCTTGTTTTGCTGTGTTGATATCGGTGATCATTTTGGTTTCCAGAGGCTAATCCCCGATTGGATGATGAAGTCGTCTTTCGATCGCAAAGTCATCATCCCAAGGGTATGTTTTTTAATTTTATTGATTTGTGGTAAAAACATGTGACACGAGAATCCACTATACTGTGCACTTAAACACGTGTTTAAGTGCACAGTATAGCCCTGTGGACTGTAGGTCCAATATTGTACAGAAGATCTAGAAGATACTCATCTTGCTTTATCTAAACTTTATGACCTTTGATTCGTAACTCGCCATTTCCCCCTGACAACCCCCATTCTACTCTTTCGTTCTGTGAAATTGACTCTCTTAGGTTTCTGCAGGCATCCACCCTCATCCCGACTCATCTCTCATTTTTTTTTTAAAATTGGAGTATAGTTGTTGTGTTTCAGGCGTACAGCGAAGTGATTCAGTTATACATATATATGTGTATATTCTTTTTTCAGATTCTCTTCCCGTATAGGTTATTACAAAACATTGAGCGTAGTTCCCTGTGCTCTACAGGAGGTTCTCATTGTTTATCTATTTTATATATATATATATAGTGGTGTGTATCTAATCCCAAAGTCCTAATTTATCCCCCCACCGCTTTCCCCTTTGGTAACCGTTTTTGCTTTTGTCTGGCTGGTTGGAACTTTTTTTCCGGGGGGGGGGGGCGGTGTTGGGGGCAGAAGTCGTATTTTGACAAGTGCACTTCTTTGAAATGGGGAATATCACCTCCAATTTTTCTACATGAAAAAGAAATTTGGTTAAGCTTTTGGATCCTTAAAAAAAAAAAAGAAAGTGAAAGAAACTGTGATGGGCGGTGATGAGAGGTGTATTAACCGTGAGTCGCTGTTTATTTTTGCGAGACATGGAAAAGATCTCTTTGGTTGTGTTCTTACAGCGGTGATGGGATTTGCACGTGGTGTCAGTTTCCGGGTTTCATCTATCAACATCACCAGTGTTTGGTTTAGACCCGTGGCAGAGACGTGGATTGTGTGACCTTGACGGTCCGCCAGCTTTAGCTACTCAGCCCGCAGTGTCAAACCGTGGTCTCAGAAACAACCAATGGGGATGGGGGTGTGCGGGGGCATTGGGGAGGTGTGTGTGTGGAGACCAGAACCCACTGAGATGGAGTGCCTATAGTGTTTTCAGTTTTTTCCTACTCGAGTACCCTCTGTGAATGGGCCAGGTGGTGGGCAGCTATGAACTCATTTTTTAAAAATTTAAGTTGATTTACATAATTCTATTAGTTTCAGGTGGACAGCATAGTGATTCCATATTTTTACAGATTATACTCCATCAAAAGGTATTTCGAAATAATGACTATAGTTCCCTGTGCTGTACAATGTATCCTTGTGGCTTATGTGTCTTATACGTAGTAGTTTGTACGTCTTTTTAATTGAAGGGTAGTTGATTTACAATGTTGTGTTAGTTTTAGGTATACAGCAAAGTGTATTCTGTTTGTATTCTATGTCTGTGAGTCTGTTTCCGTTTTGTAAATAAGTTTGTTTGTATCCTTTTTTTAGATTCCACATGTGAGTGACATCATATGATATCTGTCTTTCTCTGTCTGACTTACTTCACTTTGTATGATCATCTCTAGGTCCATCCGTGTTGCCGCAAATGGCATGAATTCATTCTTTTTATGGCTGAGTCATATTCCATTGTATACATGTACCCCATCTTCTTTATCCGTTCCTCTGTCGATGGACATTTAGGTTGCTTCCATGTCTTGGCTATTGTAAATAGTGCTGCCATGAACATTGGGGTGCATGTATCTTTTTGAATTAGAGTTTTTGTCTTTTCTGGATATATGCCCAGGAGTGGGATTGCAGGCTCACATAGTAGCTCTATTTTTGGTTTTCTGAGGGGCCTCCACGTT